ATGGTTACTTGTATTAGTGTCGACCATTAAGGACCAATCACTCAAAGCTACACGGCAATGTGTCTGGCTGTAGACGAAACAGCTTCGTGGCAGTCAACAATGAGTGGAGCTCCAACGAAAAAGCTTTGAGCTGTATGCTTGTACTTCGAAGTCGGAGTGGGAACCTCAGAGCCATAGAGCAATCCATAGAAGTGACTCAGAAAAGCTTCGGAGAATAGAGTAACTTGCCAAAATGAGAGCTGAATGCTTCAAGTGGCATACAAATCGCTCAGGGTCAGGGCGAAAAAGTTCTACTCTCACAAACATGGGTGATAGTAATGGCACAGAACTCGCAATCAGCCAGTCATTAACTAGAATGAGAGCGAAAAGTTTCAAGTCATATTGAAAGCTATGAGAAAGACGATCACATATTTAAACTCACATCGGTCTAGTGAGACGGCGCGATAAAAACACTTAGCCCACCTATCAATGCATCTAGTTTAGGATGAATAGTGTTGGACACCGCAAAATTATGTCCTGAAAGAAAATCATAAGCGCCAGATCACTTATCAGTTCGACTAAGTGCCCGCGAAGAGTATCATGTCATATTGGAGTGCTTGAGACTTAGATCCATATCCTCAGAATCGCAAACGAATGTATAAGAAGAGAGAAAGAGAGCCTAATGTGATTCATCAAAATGATTTCATGAAAGATGCTTCCGCGACACTGATACAGATGCAGATAAGTAAAGAAGTGACCAACATTTATGTCCACAGCCACAGTCTCCTTCATATCCGCACACCGACCCACACCCACACCTTGAAGAGAAAATTAAAGATGTTGGTGGGTATGCGAGAGGCTGTGAATGTGAATGCCCTTCATCTCTTCACACTCACCCACACCCACACCCACACTCACACCCACATCCCACACTCAAGAAGAAAGTACGTTGAAACAAACATATTGAGATTATTCTAATCAGAACAACAATAAGAATGCTGCTGTTATATTTACTAATGCATTTTAATCGATTTAAAGTCGCTATATATTCTAATAAGATAAATCCATCCCAAATTAAAATCGACCTTTTTTCGATCAATAAACAAGAACAGATGACATATTAAGAATGAATAAGTGAAGTATCAAATCGATTATCTAGATAAATAGTTTGATAAATTGTTTCTCAACATTCACACAGACTAAATAATAATCGAATTCGCAGTACGCTTCATATTACAGTTTTCATTAAGTTATTTGTGAGACCTGAGTATACAATTATACGAGATTTCGTATCTGGATATATCACGGCATATCAGACGTATCCTTTTAGATTGATATTATTTTATTATGGCCACCAAATCTGGACGTGATACAATTTCTGGACCCCGCCGCAAGTTGGCACTCGTAATTGGCATTGGTGACTATGAAAGTGGTGACACATTACTTAATACAAGAAAAGACGCACGTGATATGTCATCTAAGTTGGATAGCATTGGCTTTATTTCTGATGGGCCAAAATTAGATTTGACACACGAAGCTATGGAACTTGCTCTAGTTAAATTTAAACATTCAATAAGAGAAGGAGACATGGTTCTGTTCTATTTTGCTGGACATGGAACACAATGGGAGGTATGTACCATGAGGTATGAGTATCAGGTAATCCTCAATCCAAATACTGGAAAACTTGGTCGTAGTTCTAATTTTGTTTTTACGGTTATAAGATCGGTTGATTTTTCTTGTTCCGTTGCCATTGAATCTTGGCTAACACATTATTGCGTACAAATCATTTTCAAGAACTCTCTCTTTCTTTACATATACATGTTTAGAAAGCCTACTGACTCTTTTTTTATGTTATAGGATCAAAATTTTCTCATACCAAAAGATGATGGCAATATAGAGGCTGCTAACATACACGAGCGAGCGATTCTGATACAAAAGTTTCTAAACGATTTCGAGGATCGTCATCCATTCGCAACGATAATTCTCTTGGATTGTTGCAGAATATACCACTTACGCAATACTCAATTGGTCATGGCGCTAGCACGTGCAAAAAATGCGAATGCTCCTAAGCCAACTGGTTTAAAACAAATGGATGGAAAAGTTGGAACGCTGATTGCATTTGCTTGTGCTCCTGGAACAATAGCAAACGATGGAAAAGCTGAACAAAATGGTTTATTTACAAAACATCTACTAGAACATATTGGAACTCCCAATAAAGATATTCGAATGGTAATGGCTGCTGTCACCAGAGGAGTAATGACCGAATCAGAACTCAGGCAAAAACCGTCTATTAGTCTTACATTATGGGATGAATATATATGTTTATTCGAACAAAGTTCAGGTAAACAGTAGCATTATTTTTAGAATAATTGAAAAAGGTATTGGTCTATTGCCATTTACAAAAAAGTACTGAGAAAAAGAGACAGTTCGAGTTTAATGTCGGAGATAGTTTTAATACAACTACTGATGAAGATGCTATTTTGTAGTAACGTGAATTCTACTTTAGATTTAGCAATGTGCTTCTTAGAAAAATAGCATGAATAGTTCCATCAAAAATCTACCACGTCTATGGTGACTTTCGCCAGTCAGGCTGAAATTTTCAGCGATTGAAGGTCTCCCTATTCTAAGACTTTTGATTAAAAACTCTTAGTAACTTTCAATCGACATCATACTTTCTTCTGAGGCCATAATATGCCATCATTTGAGGATATTATCTTTTTCCAAAACTGCAAACAATAATTGAAGTTTTTTTCTATATGTGTCTATACTACTAAGTGAGTAGATTCTGTGTATTACTGTGTCAGATGATTCCCGTCATTCATATGCGAGTTGGGTAAATACGAGCTTGTGCAAAAAAATCGGAACCTACAAAAAAAACTTATTTCCAAGTGTGTTGGTTCACACCAAAATACAATGATTAGCCACTGATTTTAGTCATGCTGAATACATATATCTAGCGTCTGTCTGAGGATATGGGAACCAGAGACCAAAACCGCATCGAATTGAATCCAATGTAACTCTCTTTATTCGATTCAGCAACAATCCCTTCATTAAGTCTCAAACATGAGCAATAAAACTCACTTCAGTGTAAGGCTCATGCTCTCTATATCATGTGCTTTTGCGAACTGTATCGATCATTTTGTGTGGGAAGTCTACTAAGTCAAGTATTACTTTATTTCATTCTAAAAAATCAGCTTCTATCGATTTATTTTAAGATAGATAGTTTTGGATGAGGCAGATCCATGTACAGCTGTTTTCGTGACTAATTCACAAGGATGGAGCTCTATTATTGATATAACGAGTGTTTGTCTCTTCAATTACATGATCGGCAGTACAGTTTTAAGTAATTGTAGATTTGAAGATTTATTACTCTGATTCGCTAATTGATATTACAACTAACTTTGTAAAAACTTGACTGAAAACACAAATATCGTGGTTTTCTAATTCAAAGGCTGTGAAATTCATGCAACCAAGCTTAGGGATTACTAACTGCAGTGCAGATTCGAAAAATTGAGATAGACTTCGGCGGAAATCAGAAGTTTGTGTACTCATTTTCTTAATATCTGCGTCTTCCTCCAAGCAGATGATACCTATAGCGGGTGAGTTTGAGTGTGCTTATCAATATTCCTGTCCCTTACACCGACACCCCACTCCTCTTTGAAGCTTCCAAACTTCCCAAAAATGATAAATTTAGTATATAGATACATGAAAACTTGAGTCAAATTTTATACAGAATTTAGATACATTTTACTCATAACAATGGAGGCATTCTCTTTTTTCGGTATGGAACGAATCGAATCGAATCTGAATATAGATTTTTTTACTCATTTCGGTCTCTGGTATCAATGACAGATAAAATTTACCATTCGCAAATCTCATATTTTATCAATGTCTTTAAAGAGAACTTTCAATCGATAGTGTTTGAATTCTATAATTAATAATTTATCCCATCATAATTGATAATTAATAGGATACTTTTTTTTTTCAGTTATCGTCGTTCTAAATAACGTTTCTTGTCATATATATTTTCTGATATTAGTCTTGATCGGTAAAAGATAGAAACAGATTTTGTTCTCATTGAAAACTTCCTGCTTCATCAAAGTAAAACAAAATAGAAAACTTGATTAAATGTACGTATGATATTTTACCTATGAAGAAGATAAACGCTATTTCACTGATAAACTTCAAATTACTAAGTTAGAATTCATATATTTATTTATATATACTGTTTTCAAAAGAGAAAACATGTCGAGTTTGTATAGTTCAATGATACATATCGACAACTTCTGATCGATGGTTTGCGTGTTTCAGTTTCACTTTGATCATTGTAGATTGATGTTTTTTTGAATTTTAAAAAGTTTACATGGAAGGCGTTTAGGACACGTTTTTCTTTAGTCGTTTCAATAGAAAAAAATTTATCTGAAGAAGAAAAGAAAATTCCATTTTGTTTAGAGAGTAGTTGTTCAAGTTTACTGTTCACTTTATTATTTGCCTCGACTAAGAATCCATGTACGTACGATTCACTATATGTAATGGGCATTTGAATTGAATACGTTAGAAGGAATATATATTTTCGCAATCAGCCGTTGTTTTTTTCTTCAAAAAGAAAAGTATGACTAAGTTAATGTGATGATCGTATGTAAGATATACATGAAAATATACAAGCATCAGAATAAGACATTCAAATATTAGAATAACAGTATTTCTTTCTTTGTTTTTTTGAGTCAAAGCATTTGATAGGAAAATTTCAATACGAATTTTTGTATTGAATAAAAATAATGACGACAATCAAATTTTTTAAGAAACGTAAAAGAAACATTTTCATTTTCAATGAAAATTAATAGTAATATTCATAAAAAGATATCGTTTAGTCAATGTCGGAATTGACTTCGAGCATATAATTATTCTTAGATTGCCTCGTATATCGTTGTCACTTGACTTTGTTTGTCTGCGCAGGCATACCGAATCTGATAGTGTTGTTAGTATGCCAATGTAAGAGAGAACCTATGCTATCCTTTGGATAACAAAAAGTTCGTGGTCGAAAGCAAGTTAAGATTCTTGGACCGCACTCATTTGTGATCAGAATTAAAATATTCGTTTCGAATGTCATTTTCACAAATGTTATCTTCATCAAGTCGCATACATTTTTGCAATGATACTTGTTGTCCAATAGACAAGTTTGTGCTAAGATACACTGACTACTAGAATGAAGAAATTTCTACATTCTATGATAAATTTTCAAGAATATCTTTCTACTTCATCATAGTAGACGTGCGTAGAATAACTCTATTTCTTGCACAAAATCTCAAAATTTATTAAAAGAAAACAAATCTTCAGAATCAGAAAAAGTTTTGTATTTCTCTGCATATTTATTTTAATAGCTCAGACAAATCATGTAAAAATTTCGTTTGAAAATTAGAGCGCAAGGATTTGGTTTCTTTGATAAAGTTTATTAGAAACTTATCATCTCGTTGAAGATCAACTATAAATCAGGAATAGAATATCATTTTTGGAACTAATTTATCGTCGTTTGATGGTAAATATCATACTATGGAGTCTGATAATCAACAAAATTTTATCACGTTCACGACTTCCAGATGAGAAACACAAAAACAATTGGCATTTTGAACGATAAAACGAATAGATTAATCAAGTCAATGCAATAATAAATGATTTTTGAATCAAAATCATAGTGTTTAATTCATGAAAATGTTCATTTCTTCATTATCATATAATGTCTTTTTAATCTTTTACGTTCATGAACTGTTTAATATTTGTTCACTCTTTGTTGAACACTAATGTAGACACAGTCGTTTGTGCATGAAACTCACACTATACATACACGAAATCTCAAACGTAGTCAAATATCATATTTCATCTCATAAACATAAATTTATTGAACTTGCTTGTTGATAATTGAAATGAAAATGAATGAAGTGCCTGAACATGGTAAAAATTTTGACTTGTTTGCCTTCTATGAATCGTTTTATCGTCTCCTTCTCTTATATTGTAGGTGTGTTTGATAAATTCCAATGTTGACCAGTTGAAAACTCAAATATTTGAGAAGTCGGAAAGATGTTAAACACTTGAATTGACTTCTTGCATCAGTCTCTAGTTGCCAGAAATTCCATATACCTTATACATTTTATACTATCTATATAGATCATGTGACAGACAAAGTAACTATCACAAATTCTAGAGAAAAAGTGATGCATTTTGATTCTTACGAGAAAAAGCACATGTCAGTAGGTTTTTGTGTAAATGTATGTGCCCATTTCATGAGAAAAGTTTGAACTCAGTGTTATCTCTCATGAGAATCATTGAAAATCGAGCTTGAAATGCGTCTATGTCACTTTTTTTTCGACTTTGTTTTAAAGAAATCTATACTAAGCTTTGAATTCTTTTCAGTTTTAAGCTTCATTTATACAGGATGGGTTAATTTTCAATAGCACTACGATAAAAAAATCAGACATATCTGAGTCGGATCAGTCAAATGAGCTGATTTCTTTTATCAAGAATATAAGTATATTCAAAGTTTTTCTTCGTACAGATTATATAAA